ACAGGACAAGAGCTTTCCCCGCCGGACCTCCACCGCAAGCTCTGGGTCAAAGTGGTCCCCGCCGGACCTCAACCACAAAGATTTTCCGACGATATACCAGATAGAATGACAGAAAGACTGTCAGAAGATATGCCAGATACATATGCCAGAAAGGATGTCAGAAGATATGCCAGATAGAATGCCAGAAGGAATGTCAGGAGATATGCCCGATATCATGCCAGAAAGAAAGTCAGAAGAGACGCTAGATAGAACGCCAGTAAGAATGTCAGAAGATATGCCAGATATATATGCCAGATACATATGCCAGAAAGAATGTCAGAAGATATGCCAGATAGAATGCCAGAATAATTATATGGCAGAACGATGGCAGAGAGGTATGACTGTATGACTTGAGGTCTGCCCCCGCCCACTAACAGTTCAAAACTGCCCCCCCTTCATAAACCACATACCAAAAAAGCACAATCATATTGGTGGTAACTCAGGCCATTTTAGGGGATCCTTAGGGTCTGCTTAGGAGAAGATGTGATCTAGGTGGGCCGTACAAGTAACAAAGGGTGGAGTAGTGAATGCAACAACATCACTACCTTTGAGGTGGCATTGTTTGTGGTTAAACCATTTAAATCATTTTAACGAACATCCTTTTGTATTGCGCCATATTGTTGGAGCCATCAGGACATGTTTGCTGAACTTGTCATCAACTAGCCAAAAAATCAAAGTATCGATGTTGCTGTTGATATCCTTTCATGGTTGGAACGTTGGAATGGTTCTGGGAAGTCTGACAGCTGACATCATTTTGTTTATCTGAATATTTGTGTGTCAAATAGCAATGGCAATGATATGGTATGATGATGCAAGGTGTTGCATCGATATGATGATACGATATTATGACTCATGACATTCTTTACAATATTGAATGCAGCATACCTGAGATACCGAGATACTGCAATCAAACGGTCCAACCATTGTAAGTTATAAGTGAAAAGCGTTACAAAGGCGTGCCTCCAACAATAGTTGTTGAGGTTCTTAATAAACATCATATGATAATTACATTTTTTCACATTCCCGCTCCTGGCATGGGCTCACTCTTGAGAGTTTTTTTTGGAAAGGAGGTTGGAAAAAAGGAAATGGTATGAGACATTTGCCGGGCCGCTGGTCCGAAGGCTGTCGAGGCCAGGTGGCCTGAGATTCATTTTTTCCAGAGAAATTGTGTTTTTTTCGTGCTTTTTTTGTGCTTTTTTGTGCTTTTTTTTGTGCTTTTCCGGCGCTCCCGAGCGCAAAAAAAAGCACAAAAAAAAGCACAAAAAAAAGCACAATTCATACCACAAAAAAAAGCCCCCCAAAAAAAAAGCACAATTCATACCACAAAAAAAAGCACAAACAAAAGCACAATTCATACCACAAAAAAAATCACAAAAAAAAGCACAATTCATACCACAAAAAAAAGCACAAAAAAAAAGCACAATTCATACCACAAAAAAAAGCACCAAAAAAAGCACAATTCATACCACAAAAAAAACACAAAAAAAAGCACAATTCATACCACAAAAAAAAGCACAAAAAAAAGCACAATTCATACCACAAAAAAAAGCACAAAAAAAAGCACAATTCATACCACAAAAAAAAACACAAAAAAAAGCACAATTCATACCACAAAAAAAAGCACAAAAAAAAGCACAATTCATACCACAAAAAAAAGCACAAAAAAAACCACAAATCATGCGCGTTTCCAGCCCGTTCGCATGTGAAACTGTGAAGGGAAACTATTATCTAATTTGTTTTCAATTGCCAGAAAGCACAAAAAAAAGCACAAAAAAAAGCACAAAAAAAAGCACAATTCATACCACAAAAAAAAGCACAAAAAAAAGCACAATTCATACCACAAAAAAAAGCACAAAAAAAAGCACAATTCATACCACAAAAAAAAGCACAAAAAAAAGCACAATTCATACCACAAAAAAAACAAAAAAAACACAATTCATACCACAAAAAAAAGCACAAAAAAAACAAAGTATTTTCCTTTTTTTCCTGCGCCAGTTTCTGCTTTTTTTTGTGCTTGTTTTGTGCTTTTTTTCTGCTTTTTTCTGCTTTTTTTCGGCTTTTGGAAAGTCGCTGCTTTTAAAGCATTTTCAATTGGCCAGCCCGGCCCAGCTCCAGCCCCCACCTCAGCCAGCCAGCCCGCCAGGCCTCTAGTCCCCCAGCATTCCCCAGCTCCCAGGCTCCAGCCCCCAGGCTCAGCCCCCTCAGCCCCCAGGCCTTGCCCAGGGTCAGTCCAGCAGCCCCGGCCTTTATATGTATTGTACACACACATTCTATTGTTTTGCTATCGGCGCTGCGATGGGCAACATTCTGAACCCTAACAGCATTACTTTGCCATCGGCATTGTGGTGGGCAGCATCCTAAACCCTAACCAGCGTTGCTTTGCCATCAGCGCTGCCATGGGCAGCATCCGAAACCCTAAACAGTATTGCTTTGCCATCATCGCTGCAATGGGCAGCATCCAAAACCCTAAACAATATTGCTTTGCAATCAGCAGCATCACTACCCACAAGGTGCTGACAAGCTGGATGCATGAGGCACCCCATTGGAAATGCCAATGTCGAATTTTGACAGCAAGGACTTCTGGGCACGGCAAGAAAATGTGCCGACCGTGGAGCCAACTTGCAGGGAACATGCCTGGTCATCTAGCCTTAATAAGGGGAAATGAAAGTCATATTGGGACTACAACCTGATTTTTTTTGTGTTTTTTTTGTGGTATGAATTGTGGTCATTGTTAGTGTCACGAGGCAGAGCCCAATGTATGACAATATTTTTGTCACAGTGGGGCTCACCCGAGGTAAAGCAATTTTTATTTTCGCACCGGCGCTCTTTTGCCGCGCAATTCAGGAATGCCCCACGGGTTCAAACAGCTCCGAGTGTCGCATCTGCAGTGACTACCACATGCGGCAGGATGCCACTTGCCGCAGTTGTCCGGGCTTTGGAAGCGCTTCAGGTGCCTGGGTAAATGGCAAGGATGTTGGCTATAGGCCCACAGACAAAAGGCTCAAAACTCTTGGCTCCTCAAACTTGGGTGGTTCAGTAAGTAGTAAGCGGAGTATTGTGAGTTTGTGGTGCCGTCGTATCCAAAAGGATTCCAGCTACTCAGATGGCAAATCATGATGCTGGTAGAAGCACATGATTTGGTGGACACTGTGGCTCCTTGTTCTAGAATGTGTAGCTAGTGAAGAGCCCTGTGACATTTGCGCACAAGAAGTAGACGGGCCATGCGAAAGGGGGTCCATGGCTGATACTTGTCAGCACCACGTGTTTGGTTGATATTCTTGCGTCCAAAGCTGAGCGCAAGACATTTCCTTGGCCGCTGACGGTTGCAGACGTCAAGGTATACATTCAACATGGCTTACCGACACACACCTCCGGATCAAGGCCTTGAGCCAGCTCATAGTTTACAACACATACAATAGAGTGCATACACAGCAAAAGTTTCAGCAGCTGCACGGCAACAACACGTGTTTGAAACATAGCGGAGCTCTGCCTTTCCAGGTGCATCTCCAAGCAACAGCAGTAACAACAGGCAGAGGGCTTGATCCCAGAACACTGGGGACTCTCAGCAATATTGCATACAACACTCAAGGAACAGCATACCAAACAAGAAAGGAAGCAGCAGCTGAACAACAACAAGTGGACAAGCAGGAGAAGCCTTGATCCCAAAACATTGGGTGAGCTTCAACAAACCCCACAAAGCAACAATGGCAGCATCATCAAGGGCACCACCAGAGGACCAGACAGACATTGGCATCAACACACCGACTCAAACTCAAGCCCCCAACATACGATGGCAACCATTCCACATTTGAAGGGTGGAAATACAAATTCACAACCTACATGGGCCTACAAGACCCATTCTACCCCAACATGCTTTGACGTGCATCATCAACAACACAACGACTCACAGGAGCAGACTTGAGAGGAGCAGCGCGAACACTTGAGGACCCTGGAAGATGGGTGCAACTGGACAACAACTTGAAGTACATACTTGTGAACATGACGTGACAACGGGAGTTGCAGCAACAGTGTGCAGACAGCATCAACATGAGATGGGATTCGAAACCTGCAGGCAGCTCAACAACAGGTTTTCCATACCATGTGAAAAAAGAAGCGTAGGGCTTCTGGAATGTTCTTTGTTTTCGCTGCGCAAGCAATGTGTTTCCTGTTTTTTGGTTCGCGTTTTTTTTAAGCAACCCCTGCTGATTTTGTGTTGTTTTTTTGGGAGCCCCCGTCGTATTTCATAGTCACAACATCAGCATTGGGACGCAACCAAGCAGTTTCGCACGGACCGTTTGTGGGGACATGACTTAACAATGCCAATGCACATTTGAGAGGTACATGCTTACATTTCCTCTTGCACTTGAAATATCAAGTAGTGGGCGGTGCCTTCGACTTGGTTCGCTTGTGTTTGATTTGAGTTGTGCTGGAACTGAACTGAGCCGAATATGGATCCAACTTGGCTGTGTTTTTTTAAAATTGAAATGCATTTGATCTGCTTTATTTGAAGTTAATTTTCGTTCGGTTTGAACATGAATTTGAGTTGCGTAGTTGGATTTGAAATTCATCATTGGAATCATAGGTTCTAAGTCTTTTTGTTTGAAATAGGCATGACATTTAGCTTGAAGTTGAACTTGATTCAACTTTTGTTTTGATTTTAGGAAGGTTTCAAGACTTTGGGACCTTTACTTTGGGGTGTCCAACAATGCTGTTTATTTAGGTTCCCGTATTTTCAGGTTACCCCTTCTGTGAGCTTATCGGAAACCATTCTTGAAACAAAATTACAAACAATGCAATTTCAGGACTTGGCCAAGCCCAACGCAATAAGAAAATGCAACTTCAAGACCTTGACTTTTCTGCGCCCAGATTCAAAAACATCAGACAGGAACAGCATCAAACATGTTGGCGTACTTCATTGTGGGGTGGTTTGCTGATTTGCCTCGGGATGTGGCTATTTTTGTGGCGTGTTCTTTTTCTCCCCCGGATATGAACATTAGAATCGTAAATTTGGATGTGATCTGGTTTGCGCGTGAGATTTCTCCATCCCCTTCGCCAATGATATTGAATTCCCTGCGTGGGCTTGCAATTTGTGCCACCGGAAACGGACGGATCCGTTGCTGCTGTTTCCTTCACTTTCTGTTTTGGCCTCCTACCTTTCCTTTTCCCCTTCCCAAGTCAAAATAGAAGCAGTCAACATGCGAGCTTGAGATGTCAGTGACATACATACATACATACTTACATAACATAAAATTACAATACATTGCATTACATTACATTAGCATTACATTCACATTACAAAACATTACAAAACATTACAAAATATTACATACATTACTTACATAAATTACCTACATACATTACAAACATTACTTACATACATACAAACATACAAACATACATACATACAAACATACAAACAAACAAACAAACATACATACATACATACATACAGACAGACAGACATACAGACATACAGACATGCACACATGCATACATGGATACACGCATACACGCATACACGCACTTACGCACATACGCACTTACGCACATACATACGCGCATACGCGCATACGTGCATACGCGCATACACACATATGCGCATACACACACATACACACATACACACATACACAGATACACACATACACACATACACACATACACAGATACACAGATACACGCATACACACATACATACATAATACATACATGCATACATACATACATGCATACATACATAGATACATAGATACATAGATACATAGATACATAGATACATAGATACATAGATAGATAGATAGATGGATAGATAGATAGATAAAGATAGATAGATAAAGATAGATAGATAAAGAAAGAAAGAAAGAAAGAAAGATAGATAGATAGATACATAGATACATAGATACATAGATACATACATACATACATACATACATACATACATGTTTAATTATCCACAAATATATATCAAACAGTTTTTGGTGGTCCGCAGACCTCAAAGCAAACAGTTTTCCGAGACACCACCAGTCTCCCCACCCTTTGGTGCTTCGGTGTCCTCCAGGCACTTGCACCCATCGGGGCATTTGCGACGACGACGCGGACGCGCGCCAGCGGCAGGCTGCGAAGAACGTCTCTGGCTTCGGCCGCGCCGGGGCCACCGGCTCTGGGCAGTGCACCTGCAACGTACCACGGCGGAAGGGAGGGAACCTGAAAAGGATCAATGGGCGATTCGCAACATCCACAGAAACTCTGGGTTATCTACATATGATTGGGTTATAATATTTGGTGAATGGTAGAACCAAAGCCATCCAGAACCGTGAGTCATCCACTAGCATGAGTCTGAGACATCTTCAATTTCAGGATTGTTTCAGGCGTTGCCACAGCAATGTAGCAAACGGATAGCGAACCACACAGAATTGTCCTGTGAGGATGTAAACTTAAACATATATATATATATACACATACACATACATATATATATATATACATACATACATTTCGATATAAACAGATATAACCAAAACCAATATTTCTGAATAGATTTACATGGATTTAGAAAAACATGAAACAGAACATGTAAACAGCCATGTGTATGGGTATGTATGTATATACAGTATATATTATATATGTATAAATATATATATATACCTGTACATGTACTGCAGATGTAGATGTAGACGTAGAAGTAGATGTCGATTCAGATGTATATGTGTAGTATATGCATGCGATTGCAACCGGGCAAATTTCCAATGAAACAGGGTACCTCTCTATTGCTCAAGGGGTTCTCAGTGTCATGTGTGGTCCTCCTTCGACCAAGTCTTGTGCTCACCTTGCCAGAAGACATTACCCATATCGGCCCATATCCACAAATAATGCTTTCTTGGATGCGCAGTCCAGTTGTTTCTGGAACATCCAGTACCTAAAGGAGTTGACATGTTTAGCAACCACTGGCCGTGGCGCACGCCCAAGTATACTTTCCACACGCTTGACATTTCTATCGATATTGACATCGATCATTGATATGTCATCTCCATATACACACAAATTTCAAGTATTTTGCAAATCATGCTGGGTTTTCTCATTCTCTTGCACAACTCTGTTTTTTGTTTTGATTGGCATAGATTCATTTGAGCAAAGTTGTTTTTATTTTTCATATATACTGGGGTGGACTTAAGATAGTCTAATAGTCCCTGACACGTTTCTGAAAAAATCACATAAACCATAATAAACCCATAAAGAGCAAAACAATAATCCCAGCTCCCTTGTCAACATGCTTGGTAGTGAGCTGATCTGGCCAGATATTCTACCTGGATGTAAACATCTAGGTGCAGCTCACTGACTAGGGAGATGTGAAAAATGAGAGGGCAACTTGTTCCGATATTAGATGTAGTAGTAAAGTGCCTAGTCGAGAAAATTGAGTAATTAAACTTAGAATAGTTTTGGTGCTCTTAAGATAGTCACTGCACACTGGAGAGGGGTCAGTTGCCCCTCTCCCCTGTGCACTCCTGAGCGCTCCGGACTGCACACCACCCAAAGAGGGGCTGTGCAATCAAAAATCCATGGCCCAAGGTTTGGTGGGGAGAGGCGGTGTGCACTCCTGAGCGCTCCGGAGGGCACAGGGGAGAGGGGCAGCTGATCCCTCTCCCGTGTGCAGTGACTATCTTAAGAGCAGCTACATACCACCCTTAACTAATTTCAGCACTTTCGGCATTTTCAAAGGTTTGAGCAGTTAGCGTTTCTATCCCATATCCAAACAATACAGTCAATCCATTCGTCGCCCTGAGGCGCCCTTCACCGGTGACGCCTGCCAGGATGGCGAGTGTCCGCCAGGGCACCGACTTCACCGAAACGCTGAGGCGGGGGGGAGTTATGGGATCGTTGAGGGAGATGCTGAGATGTTTACATTCGTTTTTGTCTAACAAAAAGAAGTGGACCTAGTATACCAGTAAACCCCAAGTTATGGCTATTGAGGAAATAAGGATACAATATGCCATTGGATTTCGAGGTACCTTGTTTTCCAATGGATGCAGCCAGTATGTTTTCTTGCAGCGCAAATGAGAATAATGCAATGGGCTGCATGTGCCTTCTGATATGCGCATGTACTTTCCGTTCATTTACTCTGGCCTCATCAACTCTATCACGTGCCCCGCATCATAAGCAGAAACACACGTACATACCTACCTGCCTACCTACCTACCTACCAACCTCCCATTTCATCCAGCGTTGGCCCATCTCAGGTGAGCAACGCCACTGAGAAGTACCGGCACTGGCAGGCCTGCGCCCCGTGCCAGCTGGGGCGTTACAAGAAGACCAGCGGCAACCAGGAGCGGAAAATGGGGGTTTCACCATCAAAAATGGTAACACAAGGGTAACACAAAGGGATCAAAACATCAAATTGTGGAAGTGAAAACACATGTGCTCAGATGTGCATTCCAGCTAGTCACTGGCCAATCAACCATTGTATATTGCAGTAAAACCCGGGGTTTACATACCCGTACCCTTGGTCATGTGGGTTATACAACACACACACACACCAAGTGTCGATGAGCATCCAAAAATGTGGATGTGACCATGGGAAAACGGGATTTTTCCAACCTTTACGGGGCTTAGTGAATAAACAGGGATGTAACCAGGCAACAAAATAGACCAGTAGAATTGGGATATACCGTACCCTTCAAGTATACGTAGTTTTTCTTACATGAGATAGGGCTGGGTCATGCTACCTATGTTTTTCCATGCAGGTGGGGGAGATAAGCATCCGCAACTAGCACTTGGAATTACGAACAGGGAACAAATTCCCAGGACACATTGTTGTTTCCATCTTCCCGGGAGATGCTGTTCTGATTGGATATATTTTCGAAATGGAACTGATCAAAAACTGGACATGAGAAGATGCTCTTCTGTTGGGCATGTTCGGATATAGGTGACATTCCAGCGAGCAAAGAAGCCTTGCGCAAATTTTGGCCCGCATGTGCCCCCAAGGGTGATGTTGGAATTTTCGGGAAACCCCCAGACATGAATGATGTCACTCTGTCAAAAAACTGACCACAGAGATTCTGGGGGATTTATCAGCCCGGTCATTAAAAAAGGATGTATCACCTCAAACGATTCAAGACCTCTCTTGAACTCCAAGTGGCCCAAGCATCTCAACTGAGGAGTGTGACCTCTGCCCAGAAGGCTTGGTTCCTGATGCCAATCGCAGTGGCTGTGTGCAGTGCGGCCTGGGCCTCATTCCAGCAACCAATTTGAGCAGTTGCGAGAAATGCCCTGCAGGCCGGGATGGGTTTCTTGGACACCGGGGAACCACCGGTTGATGGCCATTTTATTTTTATAAAAACAAGGAAAGTGATGTAAAAAGACGGGTTTGTGTTGGGTTTATAGGAATTTTCGGATTCGAACCTTAAGACAAACTTGGATTGGGATGGAAGTGAATTAGGATATATTAGGATGATAAGACCTTTTCGGGAACAACCAGTGGGAGGATCGAGATCAGTGGAGGCATCACCACATGCCAACCCACTCCAACCCTACACTTAGTCAAGTGGCAGTGGGACATCCTGATTTCTGTCTTCTTTCTGGAGATGGGGCCCTAATCTGCCGCATCGTTTTCGGAGTATTCTGCTGTTCCACGGTTGTTCGGAGGGGTGGGGTGGCGTGGTAACGTTCATATGCGCTTGCAAACATGTTTGCTGCTATGCTATGGAAGTGGTTGATTTGCACTTGTACGCATCATGTGGCGAAGAAGGAAGGCTTCATTCAAGAAGGAGCTGGGTGGCTAAGCTAAAAAGAGGCGTTTGCGAAAGGAGGACAAGTAAGACAAACGATAATTGAAATGATTCTGTCCTTCTGTGAGAATTGACCACGGCGACATACCACGTGACCTTGTTGGTCCAAACCTTCAGTTGCTCTTTCTTAACCCTCAGCAGCAGCTTTCGTGGGGGCATTGCCCTTTCCTTGGCTAGAGGGTACCAATGAATTTCATGGATGTGTCCCTGGGTCAGTTGAAGGAAAGCCAACCGGAAAAACATGGTTTTTGCTTTTAACATCAAATGTGGGAGGCAAACCCTATCAAAGCTCTCGTGTAATTTGATGCGTAAATCCACTTCAACCTATGACTGTGGGCCATTTTCGGACACCCGGAAGCCCTGACCAGACACAACGCCAGGTTCCATTGCCGCCCTCGGGGCCCCGCGCTGCACACCATGTAAAGCGGGCACGGCCCCGAACCTGGACCGCAGCGAGTGTGTGAGATGTGCTGATGGCCAGGTGCAGCTGATCATCCTTTCGTGAGCTCATGTGGTCGGTATGGTAAACCCAAGATCCACAAACCTTACCAGTTTTTACAATGTATCCACACTAAGCAGTTCCTCTGGTAAGTACAATAGGCTCGAATGGATTATGTGTTCGCATCGTTTCCTGCGGGTTTTGTACGCGCGCGCTCGCGCAACAGTTTGATCAAACATTCGATGTGCATCTTGACTGGCAGGTGCAGGACTTCGGATTCCTCAAGTTCATGTTTCGTGTATGGATGTCTTGTGGAAGTCCTTGTAAGAGATCCTTGTACAAGGATCATGTGCAAATCGTGTAAAGATGTCTTGTGGAAATTGTTCTACTGTGTCTTGATGTGTCTTGATGTGACCTGCAAAACTTTCAACATCCGAGGTTTCGATGTTTTTGACCCTTATTTTGCACTAATTTGAAACTCACATCGGAATACACCAGCGAGGTGCAGCAACTTGAACATGGTAAACAGGTAGATATCGGCTGGAAATACAGTTCTGCGTGGTGACAATCTTGTTTACGATGCGCAACATGTTCGTATAAGAGGGGAAATCAAGGCAGAAATTTTATCTGCACACATTTCCTTCCGTAATGGTTTGTTTCAAGACAAGATACACCAAATTTTGACAGTTAATGATCTGTACTACGAACAGTCCATTTCTTTTTCCCAGACCGGTTTTGCTCATGCGCCCATCGGGCCCTGTACTGGGAAAACGCCGAAATCTCATGGTTGTCAGTTTCCCAGTCAAAAAAAAGTAAGGCCATGACATAAAATGGGGATTCAATCCATATCTTGGGACACCCATCCCAAAAAGACTTGAGCCTTGGCAGGTGGCGCCCCCCCGTTCCGCGCAGTGTACCCCTTGCGAACTGGGTTGGGTGCCGGACGCGCCTCGCACTGA